TAGTAGTAGTGTGTGTGTTATATATATATATATATATATATATATATGTATATATGTGTGTGTGTGTGTGTGTGTGTGTGTGTACTTGTATATTATATGTTTATATATATGTGTGTATGAGTGTGCGTCTGGGTCTGTGTATGTGGCCGTGAGTGTGAGTGTGTGTATGTATAAATGTATGGGTATAAATAAATGTTTTGTGTTTGAATACTTGTATGGTTATATGTACATATAAGTTTGCATAAATGACATCAAAACACGCACTACATGTTGATTCACATACCAACATACAATCTCCATTCGCAGGACTGTGTATCTAGCCGACAAAAGCCCCGAGGTACTTTCCAAGGCTCTCTCTATCGTTCGCGACTGCAGAGGCGTCGCTAATGCTCTGTCACGTGAACCAGCGTCCAAAGGATTCGGCCTACCAAGCGACCGAATTGGTGACTTTGTGGTCGTGGGGGATATGGATACCGTTATCGGCAAGTCACCAGAATGGCACGATCTCACGGCACTTGGAGATATACCCCTTCGATCTCATGGAGGTAGGTACATGCTTACTACACACGCGCACGCAGACGTGTAGTTGCCATGCAAATCTCGCATCAGAGCTCTTTGGGAGTACGTATTCAATGTAGAAGATACTCTCACATACACGTGTATGGGCTGTGTAGGTGCGCGGCACTTTGTAGATTCGTACGCCGTGTATTACAAGCTACAGTGAGGTAAGGAAATGAGTCATCCTGTTCCGAGCCTAGAGGAGTGGTCTATCGTTTGCATCCACGTGATCGTATATCGAGTTGCTTCCCGATAGACCTATGTGTGTGTTTGCCGTCCGTAGTTCAGTTCAAGTAAAAAAAATCACATCCAGCAGGCAACTGCTCATACAATTAATCGTCCCGTTCTGGAATTGAATACAGGTTTGGAAGAGAGTACAGTGCCGATGATGATTAGCAAACCGCTAATATCAGACTACAAGAAACGCCTGGGAGGTGGCCGGGCGAGGAATTTTCATCTCTTTGAGTTCTTATGCAATGGGATTAATACATCCAGATGAAATCGTCATATAGGGCCGTTCTAACAACGGTCAGTGTGTCATGATTTGTTAGGCGAAGTACATATGCAGGTGGAGACGTGCGTGCAAAAACACGGTTCAGGACTGTGGCGATATCACCACCGGTTCCACAGTGGCTATCATCGTACTCGCCACAAACCATTGAGAGCGTGTGAATTAAAATATACGGTGACACGGCCACTCGTTACGGCTGCTTAAATGAAGCAGAAGAGGCTCACCAAGTTCGTGCCCACACCCAGCCACATCAACCAGCCAGGCATGCCACCATGGTGATTCACGCACGTCAAATTGGCTATAGAATAGAAAACACTGATTTGTATGATTCTGGGATGGCGCTCAGCGAGCTTTGATAATGCCTATACAAACACTAGCGCTATGTGATGAGGACTGATGCCCTTTTCGGTGTGGCCTTCAACAGCGATGGCCTGACGAGCTCTGATTCGCCTGTGATGTCCTAGGATATCTGCTACTTTAGGCAGGTATATAGCGGCGTCCTCCATTTTGATTTAGTTTAGTTAGTAGAAATAAATATTAGCCCGCGTACTAAGATGTTGCATCGTGAGTTGCCTTTCAATATTATGTGTAAGTTATATATATATATATATATATATATATATACATATATATATGTATGTATATAGATATATATATGTATGTATATATACATATATACATATATATATGTGTGTGAGTCTGTGTCTGTGTCTGTGTTTGTGTCTGTTTCTGTGTCTGTGTGTGTGTACATATATTTATATATATGTATGTATGTATATGCGTGTGTGTGTGCGCGTATGTGTATGTGTGTGTGTGTGTGTGTATTGTATATATATAATGTGTGTGTGTGTGTGTGTGTATAGAATATATATATATATATATATATATATATATATATCCTAATCACTGATTAGTTTGTCTCTATGTGCCCAAATGTGACTTGATCTATTAGCCCCGATCGCAATCTCACGTTTTGCATGACTAAGTGGGATAATCGAGTATCCCCTGCATGGCCAACTTAAATATAGAACCTTTAGTTATAGCTTGTGTGTTTGATATCTTACCGCAACAAAGACGTATACTCTGGGTTCGAAGTATTATATCGACTATGGCGTTCGAAGTGTCAACACTGGTTCTCAATCCATATCGCGAGAGCGTACCATGGCCATCTCAATAAATATTACTTAAATTCGTACATTTCTTTAAAATAACTTTCGTTATTTCTCGTGTATTATATATATGCGCACGTATAAAATATATATTCTTTTATTCTATTAACTTGGGAGTGGGCACGAGTTCATAAATGCAGCTTGCCCACAAAGCATGCAATGCACATCCTTATGTGCCCTCGCTCCATTCAATGTTGGAGATGTCGCTTGTTGAAAGTCATCTCCGGTCCTATATATCACTAGGTATAAATTTCCTGATCTCAGAACTTAAGCCTTGGGCGAGAAAAGGGCCAAATCGGCGTCAACCATATCGTTTACGAGTTCCTGGAAGGATACTGTGCGCGTCCAGCCAAGTGTCTTCTCGATCTTGGTGGGGTCTCCCAGAAGCAGATCAACCTCTGTGGGTCGGAAGTACTTCTCCGATACGCGCACCACAATCTCGCCGGTGGCCTTGTTGCGGCCCACCTCGTCAACTCCAGTACCCTCGTACTCAACCTCGATACCTGCACGCTGGAACGCGAAGGTGCAGAAGTCACGCACCTTGGTGGTCTCACCGGTGGCACAGACAAAGTCGTCGGCAACGTCGGCCTGTAGAATCCTCCACATAGCCTCTACGTAGTCACGGGCGTGACCCCAATCACGCTTGGCGTCCATGTTCCCTAGGTATAGGCAGTCCTGTTTGCCGTACTTGATCTGGGCCACGGCGCGGGTAATCTTGCGCGTGACGAAGGTCTCTCCACGACGGGGAGACTCGTGGTTGAACAGGATACCGTTGCAGGCAAACATACCGTAAGCCTTTCAGTAAGAAACCAGAAGGAATGATAGATGAGCTATAGATATATGTCAATCGCCATAAGAGCTTGAAGTAAGATTATTCGTAAACTCTTGTAAGTGCACACAACATGAACACTATGTATGATTTTGTTACACTACTAGAACTCGCGAGTGATGACACTGTAAGTTTGAATACTATCTACTTTAGAGGTTACAGTGAAGAATCTAATGGAGCATAAAAGAGGTATAGAACAAAAACAATGACAACCTCGTACTCACCTCGCGGTAGTTTACAATAGCCCAGTACGCGTACAGCTTGGCGACGGCGTAAGGGGAACGAGGGTAGAAGGGAGTGGTCTCTGACTGAGGAACAGCCTGAACCTTTCCGTACAGCTCAGAGGTGGACGCCTGGTAGATGCGGCATGTGTGGGTAAGACCAGCAGAGCGCACAGCCTCCAGAAGAGACATTACGGATAGACCGGCGACTTGTCCAGTGTATGAGGGCATGTCGAAGGAGACCTGTGTAGTTTGGCATGAGAGGGTCAGGGGAGAAGGATAAATAGAGACGGCGATTACATGAGTGCTTCTCATTTGGTGAACTGCCGGATAAAGGGATTGTAAATACAAGGTGATTGTCAAGGGGCGTCGCTTACGTAGTAGGTTATGATTTGAGAATTAGTGTGATAGAATGCATACTGCATCACAAAAACGAAAATGACAACACCAAACAACAATTATGTAAAAACATCAGTAAGACACAAACAATTTGCGGGTTTGCATCCTGCTTCATCCCAATCAAACAACACAAACAGCCACGTAAAAATAGTCGCGAATGCAGAAGCACCAACTTGGAAGTCTTCTTATACCAAGAAGTGGTAAGCATTCGCACCTAAAATATTGTTGCAGCGAGTATAGCCGGGTTGATTAGACACCAATGCGATATTTGTACACACCTGTACGTGGGACTGAGCAGCCAAGTTGTATAGCTCAGTGGGGCGGACAGTGGATAGCAATCTCAGAAGATCTCCAAAGTCAAGCATATCTCCGTAGTGTAGGAAGAACTTATCTGCGTACTCGTTATTGTGGAACAAGTGCTCAATTCTCGACTGATTGAAGGAAGAGGCACGACGTTTAATACCATGTACTTCGTATCCCTTTGACAGAAGCAGCTCGCAGAGATAGGATCCATCCTGACCGGTGACACCGGTGATTAGGGCTACCTTACGGCTGTGGTTGTCTGCAATTTCCTGAGAGGTAGTCATGATTGCTAGTTGTGTGTTATATCAGCTACTTTAGTCTAGGATGAATCTGTTTGTGTTAGGTACTCCAGATTTATACTTTTAGTAGTCCGTTTCGGTTATTGTTATTATTTACAAGCTCTTTTCGTTCGTGACTGCGATAGGGCGAACACAACCTGATAGTCTGATACTCGCCTGCACTCTCTCAAAAAGCAATACAACGGAGACTTCTGACACGCACATTGACACACAGCCCCTAACAACGAGAAAGGTTTTCACTGTTCTAAATTTTGGCTTTTTCAATTCTGCTGCCCTACAAATAAACAAAATTTCGGGTTTAAAACCAGGAAAATGAGGCTTTATTTTTTAAAATAGATTTAACCCCTAAAATGCAAAATATGAGTCTCCTAGAAAGAGAACTGCTGACCACTCAGAAAGATAGAAAATTTTGGATCGCATACATACAAGCCATATTTTATAAAATATGAAGAAAAAAAGCCGAATTGGAAGCACGGAAAAGAAATAAAAAAGGCTGAAAATGTTTTGTTTTGTTTTTTGATTCCATAACAACCACCGATTTTCGGAGGCAACGGAACAAATCTTCCATTCCAATAAATCAGATTTCAGAAGTTCAGAGTCCTGGAATCTAAAATATGCTGCCACACTCTCTCTATTGTAGAGAGAGTAGAGAGGGCCCAGGGCCCCAGGCAGCCACAGTGCCATGCCAACTCCTCCATATCCCAAGAGCAAGATCTATATGCTCATAGCCTTCTAAAACTAAGCAGGCTATGTCGCTATGATATGCTACATATTATATTCTATTTCTATTCATATATATATATATATATATATATATATATATATATATATATATATATATATATATATTAGATACACACATCTTTCGTCACATCATCATAAAGTGTGTAGAGGATACAATCACGTGTACATTGTGAAATGTCAAAATATTTATTATGTCATTAACTCATAGACATGTATATTGTGATGTATTTATTATATCTTTAACTCATAGAAAGCTGCTAGCTCAATATGCTTCCGTCAATTTGTTGTGGGTATGCATGCACAGCCGCCTTCTATATATATATATATGTATGTATGTATGTATGTATGGATGTATATAAATATATGTCTATATATATATATATATATATATATATTGATATATATGTATCCGTATATATATATGTATTTGTATATATATATATAAATACATATATATCGATATATATATATATATATATATATATATATATATATATATATCGATATATATATATATATATATATATCGATATATATATATATATATGTATATGTATCGATATATATATACATATATATATATATATATATATATATATATATATGTATATTTATGTATGTATGTATGTATATGTGTTCGTGTGCTCGTGTGATTAGTATATATATATGTCTGTATTTGTGTCAGTGTCTGTGTTTGTGTCTGTGTCTGTGTCTGTATATATATGTGTGTGTGTATGTATGTGTGTATGTGTATGTATGTATGTATATATATATATATGTATGTATGTATGTATGTATGTATGTGGTTATATATACATGGATATATATATATATATGTGTGTGTGTGTCGGTGTATATATATATATATCTGTGTCTGTGTCTGCGTTTGTGTGTTAATATGTATATATTCATATTTATATTTATTATTCTGTTTGCTAGAAGCATATATAATGTAAACTATAAACATTTATGTACATGATTGTGTATATTTCCGGATATATATTTTATGTACTAGGATATGTTTTATTATATTTATGATCACAATCATACTATGATAGTATATCTGTGTAGTGCAGTTTAGTATGGACATAATGTATATATATATATATATACATATTATATATAAATATGTGTGTGTGTGTGTGTGTGTGTGTGTATTTATATATATATATATCTATATACTTACATATATTTATATATATAAGCTTGTGTGTGTTTGTGTGTGAATGTGTCTCTTCTGTGTGTATGTGTTCATGTATTTAGGTCTTAGAAACAATTTCATGAGCGTTCATATTCCGCATTTACTAGTGTTCATATTCAGCATTTACTACGTTCGTGCGCGTACTTTTTTCCTGTATCCACCATTATATCTTTGATAAATCCTCCCATGCCCGCCCAATAACCTGGCCTGCTCCACGTATCATTGTGCAACCCATTGGGTATGCTTACGAATACTTTGTCGTTGGCTGAAGTCGCAGCGGCGCACAACCGATGCATCATAAACGCCGGTATCATCTCATCCTTCTCACCTACGGGTCATGAGAGAGTATTTAGTTGTAAAGTGGGGTATCAAGCATTCATAGGTGCAAATCTATAAACCAGCCTAAACGCTGGTATCATCTCGGCTTTCTTGCTTGATGGTCAATAGCTAGTATCCCATGATCTGATGATGATATGGATGTATTATCAATTGTACACTAGTCTAAAATTATATACCAGGCTTAGTTCGTACTTATGGATGAAATGCTACCTCACACACAGATAATGTTACATACAGCCTAAAAGTAGGCGGTATAAACCGGTGCAATCAGCTGCATGACATCCTCTACTAAAGAAAGTGTATTTTAAGTCGACAAGATAATGTCGATAGGTATGTACTCAACGCGGTACACTCAACTGACGGTGAAGGTAGGTGTCGAATCTGATTTGACAGAAACTAGCGTCCGCCAAGAAGAATTTGTGACGCGTATGGTACGACAGAGCCTGAAAGAAAAATACGAAATAAAACGGCTAACATATCAACTAAACCCGTTCTTTTTGTGGGTTGCTTTCGCTGCAATATATAACTCTTTTCAGCATCGTCGCCACAGTCTCGCCAATACGTGTACAATACCCTGCTAGTACGACTCGTACTTTTCTCAGTTGTGGCCGCATGGTGATCGATTTGTGCACTCCCATACATAAATAACTCAGTAGGCATGAAGAGAATTGGACAGCTATCTGGCTGCCCCTTTAGACAGGAAAAAGAATGACATTTATAGATATCATTCGCCAGATATCAAGAGGATTAGATATCCATATGGATGCTTCGCCCAAAAATGAAGTGAGCTGAATATCTGTCTGAATCATCCTTCAGACATGAAAAAATAGGAACACTGTTTGGATCACTCACCCGACATGAAGAGAATTGGACATGTGACGGAGGCCATTTGATGCTCACTGTGCCACGGCCACCGGATAAATCGAGTCAGAAATGGATATGGGGTATATCTCGGATACCAGAACTTGACAATATCACCTAAACTGAAATAGAATTTAGACATATCGTTTCCAAAAAAGTTTATTTGGGATACCAAACTTGACGATATTGCCTAAAATAGCCGGAGAAACTTGATGGGTCCCGTGAACAAATAAATGTTTTCACCACGAGTGTTCATATAATTATTGCTATCGCCGCCGTGTACGTGCTCGAACCACTCGGTAAAAACACTTGACGACGATTGTCTGGGATCTAGTCGATGATCCCATGACATCTGACTATTGCCAGTACACAGTATCACAATCTTTAAAGCGGGGACGCAGAAACTACTTCTCTATATTATCGCTGTATAAATATATATATGTGTATATATATATGTGTGTGTGTGTGTGTGTGTGTGTGTGTGTGTGTGTGTGTGTGTGTGTGTGTGTGTGTGTGTGTGTGTGTGTGTGTTGTGTGTTTGTGTGTGTGTGTGAGAGAGAGAGAGAGAGAGAGACTATGTGTGTGTGTGCGTGGGTGGTGGGAGGGGAGGGTGAGTGGGTGGGTGTGTCTATGTACGAATACACTGTTTGTGTATTAACGCTCACCTGGTAAATGTGTTCTCTACAATCAGCCCAATAATCGCTCCAGACTTGTCCGTGGAAGCCAGATGGATACCCACAGCACCGCCAATAGAGTGCCCGTACACTATCACCGGCACCTGCACGCCTGATGTCTCGGTCGACGGACTGGTTGCTGACGCTTCATGGCAATAGAGCAACTCCGATGCGTTGCGCTGAATAAACTCGAGCGCCGCTTTGGCATCGATGGCTAAGCCTGTGTCGAAGTGCGGGCGATGTTGGCTGGAAGTTCGTTACCTACAGGCAAACATACCACTTTGGCATATTCGCGCGCTCGCTGGATTTAATTGTCCAATTTAAGAATCGGCATTAACTAATGGTTTTAGGTGTGTGTTGCATAATATCCTCCTTCTGCTATTTATGCGCACGATAAGTACAATACAGCTGATCTCCGATGCTACCAATAACTAAATTAGTACGTACACATTGGCCGCAACACTTCTCGACCAATCTCAATGAGAAAGTTGTGAAAGGGTATGAGAAGCTTGCAATCCGTTTTCCAGCCCAAGCTTTAGTTTCGATTTCCGGTTCGGTACCACCTGTTCCAAAAGTGCGTATGACTATACATTTGTATTAATATGCATATACACATACATACAGAATTAACAAAATACAGACCTGTATCACGTCCATATAGATTGAGATTAATACTTGAATTAGGTCGCATTTCACCGCTTGTCTTCATATCAGCAACTAGAAGGTATTGAACCCTAGCTGGCAAGCGAAGCAATCGACAACTTGTAGAAACACTACCTTCCTTTGCTATCACTCCTCTGTCAGATACATTCCATCATATAATGCACATAAGTACCAGGTATCACACTTCGCAATGAAAGACAGCTACCTCTCCCTGACGCTCGCCCGCCGCTGTGACCATATCCTCGATAGCTGAGCACGAAGATGTGGCAACGACTTTCTTTGAACAGCCTGGGTACGTACAGCAGAAAGAATAGGCTAGACTTGAAACCAAAAATATGTGCTTGCCGCTATATGGATAGTGTATACTTATTTTGTAGTGTGAAGGTGAATCTGTGACTGTTCCAGAGACTTTTTTGGATATCTGGTCTATATGCTGCAAAACAAGCAAGCTTCACAACATATAACAGTTATGGCCTAATGTGACACATACGCACCTCTTAATATGATATATCCTGTCTCCCAGATTACCAGCATTCCCATGGAAATATAGAACAAGCGGGATGTCAGATCCGCTGTTGGCGGTGTTTCCGACCTTTTTTGTCTCCATGGGCTGCTTGAATAGCCATGCCTGCAGCTCAACACCGTCTGGTGTAGTAAAGCGGTACTCTAATAGCAGAATGTGTGTGTGTGTGTGTACATGAATGTGGGAAACGGGATGTGACAGAATGTGTATGTATACATGTAAGGGTGTGTGTACATGATTGTGGAAAAGAGGATATGACAGAATGTCTATGCATGTGTGTGTGTGTGTGTACATGAGTGAGGGTAAGAGAATGTGACACAATATGTTTGTATGTGCGTAGGTGAGTGTGCGTTTGTATGCTTTGTCTGCATGAGTACGGTGTGTTCATGTGTGAGCTTGTGTGAGAATCATGTAGCACCTGGTACAAGCAGCCACTCAGCGTAGTGTGTGGTGTTGTTTGATATAAACTTTGGCGAAGCACAACAGTCAAACCCACCAGCTATTGCACGCAATACTAAGAAATGTAGCATTCGCTCAACCCGGGCCCACAGACTTTTATTTCAACTTTGTATATACAAATACTGACCAATGCACACTTCATACACTATCAGGTCAGGACGAAGAATGCTATTCGTACATCTGACAATCATAAAGTAGCGCCAGTCGCAAAAGGCTTTTTAACGTATAGTACCTGAGAATACGCTGTCCATGCCGTGAAGTTTTGGGTCCTGGATGTAAGAACGGCTCCCGGGCGGCAAATACGGCATGTAGATCAGCTGAAACACAACAATAGAGTACAATGCGGTGATTAGATCAATCGAGAAAAATATAATTACTGCATGCCTGTGCAATAGTTCTTATTCGGTTTAGTGTGTAGGTATGTGTATAACACATAACCTTGTATGATACTCAAACATAAATGAGCATAGTTAACATGAAAGTGTTTTCTCCGGGGTAGAAGGGTCCCGTGTATTTGTTATAAAGAGGGGATTCTATCAGTGCTTGCCACACATGTGCCTAAAAACACAAACATAGGTGTGATGACCAGTATATGTAAGCACGGACTTGAAGTCCACATTGCCGAAAAGACTTGATCATGCATGTATCTAACCGTCACATTGAATGCATATCCCTTGATGCACAACGTTGTACTAAAATCAAAGTAGCGGTTGTGAGTAGCAAAATTCGCATGGAGTTGACGTATTCGGAACGATCGAATACAAAAACTCCCAAGCACAGAGCAAGCGAGGACTGCCCAATGACAGTAGAGACACCTTGGTGGCTCGAACACCGCATAGACAACAGAATGTATACGCATAAGTAATATATGCAAGCATACCTATATATGGTGGCGTATTGCTGTTCAATCCGCCGCGTGCGATACTCCCAGCTATATATCTAACTAGGTGTCAGTATACTCCTGGTCAACACAATATACTTCTCTCTCACTAGGTCTTAGTATACTCCTAGTCAACACAATATACTTCTTTCTAACTACGCCGTATACAACCTGTACACCATCACCAACTAAGTCTCAGCGTGCTCTTAGTACGACACAATGACAATAAACTTCCCTCTAACTAAGTCTTAGTATACAGCTAGTACAACAAAATAACGTTCTTTCTAACCAAATCTCAGTGTACTTCTAGTGCGATACAATATACTTCTCTCTGACGAAGTCTTAGTATACACCTATTCCAACACAATATATTTATCTCCAACTAAGTCTCAGTGTACTCTTAGTACGACACAATACACTTCTCTCTAACTAAGTCTTAATATACAGCTAGTACAACAAAATATCCTTCTTTCTAATCAGATATCAGTGTACTTCTAATGCGACACAATATACTTCTCTCTACCTAAGTCTTAGTAAATACCTATTACAAAACAATATATTTCTCTCCAACTATTAAGTCTCGGTGTACTCCTAGAACAACACAATATACTTTCCACAGACTAAAACAAACAGGTATCTAAAGAATTCAATCTTAGCTCTGGCCCTAATAAAAACCGTGGGAGTGCATACGTACAGCATCCGTATGACAGCAACATTACCTATCCATGAAAGTCGATGAGTATATGCTTCGCATTCTCAGTATGTCCTGAATTATGGACACGCACCATACACCGGGCCATAAAGTATCATGGGTAGATGTACATGCACATCTCCATCATATAAGACGTGGTACATACTTTGTTCTGAAATATAACCGTCATGACGGCTTTGTACGTGAACAGGATAAGCGGTGTGCCTATGAAGATGATGAGTCCTTTCACTCCCATCGGTAGTAAGCCAAACGCCGATGCCAATGTGGACACACTTTTCTCGCCATTCCCACAGACTCGTCTGAGACCAAGCATAGGCACACATCGATGCACATGTATGGGGTTATGTGTGTTAGTCATACTCAATCGACTACCTACAAACGTGTGGTATTTGTATCTCCCTACATCGTTGCAGGCCTTATAACTCGAAGGTCTACCTCCACGAACAGACACACATCGATGCGCATGTGTATGAGTGTGCGTGTGAGATGTACTCAACCTTCTACCTGCACAAGCGTGGTATTTCCTCGCAACTTTACAAGTCAGATGCCTCGAAAGTCCAGATGAGCTTGTAGTATTAAAGTGTGGTTCATACGCATACATCCGTGAGAAGTGCGCTTGTGAACCGGTGACGCTTTTCCGTGCTACCCTCAGTGCTATATAGTCTGACGTAATAGCACACCATCCGATGTGTGTAGTTGTGCAGTCTCTCGGCAGCCTTGACAGCTTTCGTGTAAGCGTTTGCATCATGCAGGCTTGCTTTGAACAAGTGGCGAGTGTTGTCTGTGCTTCTCAATAATCATCCATCAACGTTTATAACGTTTTGAGCTTAGCTGTTCTTTCTGTGATCCTTAATCAACATTTACAACGTTGTACGCTTTGCTGTACTTCTCGATAATCATTTAGTCAACGTTTGAATATGACGTTCTGAGCTTAGTCGAGTGATATCCCATATGTCAAGGTGTCAGATTGTGACACTATATAAATATAGGTAAACAAATCACACACATCAACATCAATTACGAAATAAATTATTCATGTGAGCTGTACACGATAATTAGTCTCAGATACACACACGACTAGCAGTTGTACTATAGCGATGCATAGTATGCCTCTGTTACGTATTAGTCGAGGGTTTGCTCCCAACCGGAGCTCTGCTTTCCGCTTCGAAAGTATACTACGCTTACAACGTGCCTATGCTAGTTCTCTTCAACATGATGACGAAAAGAAACTGGCCAGTGTGGATAGTATCACAGACTTTGCATCAAACGCACCTCTTGATCCTGATACAAACCCTACCATCGAAACATCTCAGATGAAAACGAATAATGCAGAAGGTGTGGAGAAAGGTGTGGATGCCCAGGAAGGTAATCAGACGGAAGGTGCGTCTGTGAAGTCAGTCAAAAGTACGAAAAAGAAAAAGAAGGCGGATGCAGATGTCAGTTCTGATGCTGACACGAAGAAGCCACGTGGGAAGAGCAAGAAGAAAGCAGCAGACTCCGCCGTCGATGAAATTATGCCCAAGAAGAAATCGGTATATGAGATATCGTATCAATACAATACAATACAGCACACAATACGTTGCGTGTGTGTATCATTTGAAGTGTGTATCATATCTGTGGCTTTGTTTTCGCGTCGTATCGTATCATATCGTACCGTATCCGCAAATTGGGTAACAATACTCAAAGCTGCCAGTATTCAGGATACGAAAAGTATAAGGGTAGGTACTTGGGATAGTTTTCAAGTCATGATGGAGCGTAATTACATGTGTGGTTTATGTTTACTTTGCATCGTATGCCGTGGATTGCTAGAACGTCCGAAGCTGCCAGTGGTGAGATTGACGTATTATATAATTCGAACATTTCAACGGATGCACTGCCTTGTGTCTTGTGTGCGTGCTTTTGTGTACTTATTGTACCTTCTTCATGGATCGTACTGTATGGTGGGCTGCTAACGCGGGTGATCAAGAAGGAGAAGGCTGTGCAAGGAACGGAAAGAGGCACAGTATCATTGCGTATTATTAGAACATACGATGGCGTAGACAGCCGTGTGTAGGCTATTCGCACTTCGTATCACGTCCGTGGATTGTACAGCATCCATGCTATTGACATTATTTGTTCAGGGGTGTATTGTGCTGCCCCTTGATGCTTTATATCAGCTCCTTGTCCATGTTCGTTGTGCTCGCGACCCTTTGGACTGCAGCGGTGGAGGTTTGATCAGAATCCTTGCGTATCACGTACTTACATGCCATTCATTTTGGGACTGTACATTTGTACTCATACCATCCGTTTTGGAACTGTACATTTGTACTTGTGTTGGAATACTGTTGTGTTATATACTAGCACGCACATGTGGTTACTTGCATAGGCCTTATGGACTGGACATAGTATAGCCGTATACGATTCATGTTATAAGGAAAATTCAATCCAGTAAGGGAAGCAGGCGGTGTGTAAATATGGATTCGTTTCCTTGACCCAAGTTGTGACGTACTTTTTTACATAATTATTTTTTTCCATAATTACACACCTCCGTCTACATCGAATCCGATAGCGGTTGACGAGACGTGGTGCGGAAAGCTCTTTTATTCCGAAACACCACAGCGGGTGGTTACACGAACAATGCCAGAACAAAAATCTATGCCAAAAGTTCAGTAGACTGTAGTTACCTAAGTATTCCTACAGCACAACGTTTCGTGGTTCTCTTCCATCGTTCGTTTACACATAAGACATGTGTCTGCGGTACGCTCCATGGATAGTCAGTTCACTCACGCTCTCATTGCCGCAGAAGGGCCCCTTTTACGTCTCATACCATGTTCCTCGATTGCATACACAGAAGAAAAAGTCTGCAGCACCCGCCAAGGAAGCCAAGGATGCGGCCACAACCGAAGCCGCCAGCAGAAACACGAGCAGCGGGTTAGTACTTGGCGTGCACGTGCTAAGCAAGAAGCAGACGACGAGTACTGTACTGACGAAGACGGACAAGGGTGCTACGCTGGCACCTGTGGACCACTTCCCCAAGGAAGATAGGGAGAAGGAAGGCTTCTCACTTGCTCTGGAGAACGCCGTGCGTGCTGGGTTCAATGGCAAAGTGGTAGGTATAGGTGGTTGGCTTGATGGGTTGGGCGCTGTATAGTGATCGCCAGTGCATATGAGTGGAGTGGGTTTATTATGGTAGGTAAGGCTATAGTTCTCATGTGGCTGAACATACGATAACACAGTCAATCGCTCTGAAGCTTCTTATTTGAGACATACGGAAACTCTGGTAAAGCGAGATTGATTTTTTATTTTCTTGTCACACACCTTAATCCTGCCCCGAACCAAACACGCACAGGGAGAAGTAGTCCTATCCCCCACACCCGTCGCCCACGGCGAGCAGGAGTACTCTGTGGTGGCCGTGGCTGGCTTGGGCAGCACTTCGGTCACAAAGAAGCCCAACGCTGACTTCCAAGGGGAAGGCGTGGTTGACGCAGAGGAGAATGTACGCTTGGCTGTGGCTAAGGCGGTTAAGAAACTGCGTACCAGCAGCGTGGGGCGGGTGGATGTGGATCCCATGAACCACCCCGAGGCTGCCGGAGAGGGCGCCGCCCTGGGTTTGTACACGTACGATGCCCTCAAAGCCGAGAAAAACTGGGCTAGGTACGTAGAAGTGGCTATGTTCCGCAAGAATAAGGTGTGTAAGTAGACCATGAGATATCCTGGTTGGAAGGCTGTTGTGCGTGTATATGTCTGGTTTGTGCCAATTTTCATGGTCACGCGTGCGTTCTGCGGGAGATTGTGGTCGATTTGAATCGCACGGTGTGTTGCGACGCAAGTGGGGTCGGTGTATCTCACAGTAGGACAGTATTCCATATTGTACACATCTAGCGTCAAAGCACACGGTCGGATAACACAAGACTTCCAGCTCTCGAACGTGTGTGCACACGCCAGAAGTATGCGTGGTTGGGGAATCCCAGCTAGTGAATACCAGCTATTCACCTCAACCCATATCTTATCCGTTCACCACTGCCCGTGATGCAGACCTCCATTCCCGTTACTGAAGCCGCGTTCAATCGAGGCGCTGCACTGGGAGAGGCCCAGAACATTGCCCGCAGGTTGATGGACACCCCCGCGAACCTGATGACACCCACCGTGTTTGTGTTGGAAGCCCAGAAGATGTTTGCATCGCATGAGCAAGACCTGGGTAGGCTCGAGCTCAAGAAAAAAGGTGGGTGGGACCTTGTCGACTTTACTTTTGCGTGTGAGGGTTTGTTTATCGCGCACCTTTGTGAGCCTGTACTGTACGGAGACGCCGACGAGTTTGATAGCACCAGCAGTGGTTATATAGGTCGCTAAACACTGCATCGCTATGGTTCTGACACGTGTTTTCGGTATTCGAAAGACTGTATGTATGTATTAGTGATCCAAAACACACCCGGAATATCCCTATTATACTCATAGCTGGATGGTTCGTGCATCCTATAGTAAGCCTGTAGGTCACGCTATCTCCGGAGGTGTAGTTCCAGTAGCGAACGATACATACGAGTGTACGTATCTTGTTCATCTGTCTTCTTTATGATATACCCTGCACTATATCGCAGTCTCAATGTATTCTATCCTATATCGCGTTGCGTTCTCTGTGCCTCAGTATAGCCAGTACCTCAGCCAGCGCCTTACACCGAGCTCGTTTAAGTGTTTATCCCGTAAAGAATACATGACAGGGTCAAATCTTACGGCCTAGATATACACGTATATCAATATCTAATCCGAACAGTGTCCTATTGTGTGCATATGGATGGTACAGCTTGCGTTCTGCGTTTCACTACGTATGTTGCCTGTGTTGACAACACACCGCCCACGTCATTCCAGGAACTCATTGGACCACCTCGAAAAAGGACTCGCGCAAAGAAGCCAAAGCAGTGTCGTTTGTGGACGTGCGAGTATACGACTTTCAATGGGCGCTTGACCAAAACATGGGTGCTTTCCTGTCTGTGGATAAGGGTAGCAATGAGCCTTTAAGGTAATTGGATACATTTTGTGTGTGTGTGTATGTGTGTGATTTGGTGTTAAAACATGGGTGCTAGTTCGTCTGTGGATGAGGGCAGCGACGAGTCTCTAAGGTAATTAGATACATTTTGTGTGTGTGTGTGATTTGATGGTAAAACATGGGCGCTTTCTTGTCTGAGGATACAAAAGGGCAGCAATGAGCCTCTAAGATAGTTAGATACATTTGTATATGTGTGTATGTGTGTGGATGTGTGATTTGGCGGTAGCCTTTCCAGGGCAAAAACAAGTATGCACTGTTGCAATATGGCCCGTGAATACCTACCTCTGAAAACCGACATGAATTGTCGCTTCCTCAACTTTCTCGAGGTGGAGAGTATCAACACAATGATATTTGACTAAGCGTCAGTAGTGATAGTAGGCAAACGAGTGAGATACGGAGGTATCTTTTTCGAGCCATCGTACACTTTCACGTGTACATATATGCGTCACACGCCAATGAATATATACATACATACATCTATCTGAATTTGAACCCAACTGGTTCGTCCCATAGATTCCTCGAAGTGGAGTACATCAACAAGGTGCCAGCTGACTATCCGCCTGTAGTCATGGTGGGCAAGGGCGTGACATTTGACAGCGGAGGTATCTCCATCAAGCCATCGGCAGGCATGGATCTGATGAAGGGTGACATGGGGGGTGCAGCAACTGTATTGGGTGCTATGTATGGCTTGCACAGGCTGGGCGTGAAGGGACGCTTTATTGCCTGTATACCTCTATGCGAGAACATGCCCGGAGGCAATGCTGTGAAACCTGGGTATGTCGTCATATATATGTGTACGTATATATATTATGTGCACGTATATATATATATATATATATATATATATGAATAGATATAAATATATTTATATGAATATATATATATATATATAGGTGTGTGTATATATATATGTATGTATATGTTAATGTTAATGTATATGTATATGTATATATATATACATACACACATATCTACATCTATATCTATATCTGCATCTATTTATGTATATATTGTTTGTGTGTTCATGTGTGTGTGCGTATGTGTGTATGTATGTTTGTATGTTTATATACATATATCTATATATCTATATATACATATACATACATATATATATATATATATATATATATATATATATATATATATATATATATATATATATATATAA